TTTGAGTTCCAGATGTTCCTCAGTTGTAAATATGCTGCTCTTGCTTTGCCGATCCGCGCCTTCACATCTGCATCCGATCCACCCTGTTCATCAATGATGCTGCCCAAATACGTAAAGGTTTTTACATCTTCCAAATCTTCTCCGTCAATTGTGATTGGATTGGTGCATTCTGTGTTATATCAGAGAATCCTGCTTTTCCCTTTGCGTATATTGAGGCCTATTGCTGCTGAGGCTGCTGCCACACTGTTTGTCTTCCCCTGCATCTGTTGTTGCGTTTGGGATAGAAGGGCCAGATCGTCTGCGAAGTCTAGATCATCAAACTGCATCTTAGATGTCCATTGTATCCCGCGTTTCCCTTCAGATGCTGACGTCTTCATGATCCAGTCGATCACCAGGAGAAAGAGAAAGGGTGAGAGTAAGCAACCTTGCCTAACACCGGTCTTCACTTCGAACGACTTTGTCAACTGTCCTCCATGCACAATTTTGCAGTTTGATCCATCATATGAGTTCTGTATGATATTAACTATCTTCTGAGGCACGCCGTAGTGTCGAAGAAGTTTCCATAGTGTTGTTCCGTCCACGCTATCAAAAGCTTTCTCATAGTCAATGAAGTTGATGTAGAGTGATGAATTCCATTCAGTTGATTGTTCCACAATGATCCGTATAGTTGCGATTTGGTCTGTACACGATCTATCCTTACGTAATCCTGACTGCTGGTCTCGAAGTTTGGCGTCTACGGAGTCCTTCATTCTGTTTAACAATACCCTGTTGAGGACTTTTTCCGGTATTGAGAGAAGAATGATGCCCCTGTAGTTATCACAGTTGCTGAGATCGCCTTTCTTTGGTATTTTGATCAGAAGTCCTTCTTTCCAGTCTGTTGGTATTTGTTCCTCATCCCAAATCTTATTGAAGAGAATGTGGAGTATCCTTGCAGTTGCCGCTACGTCTGCTTTTAGTGCCTCTGCTGGAATGTTGTCCGGTCCTGCTGCTTTGCCACTCTTGATTTTTCTGATGGTCATGCTTATCTCTTCAGTCGTTGGTGGGCCAACATTGATTGGGAGGTCCGTGGGTGCTGCTTCGATGTTGGGTGGGTTCAGTGGAGCTGGTCGATTCAACAGTTCTTTGAAGTGTTCTACGCACCTGTTTTGTTGCTCTTCAATGTTGGTGATTACCTTGCCTTCCTTGCTTTTCACTGGTCGTTCTGGTTTGCGGCGATTTCCAGAGAGTTTCTTTGTCGTGTCATACAATTGTCCCATGCTTCCTTCTCTTGCAGCCTTTTCCGCCGTCGTTGCTAAATCTTCCACATATTTACGTTTGTCAGTTCTGATGCTCCTCTTCACTTGCTTGTTTATTTCCGTGTATTCAGCTTGTGCCTTGGCTTTTTCTGCTCTTGTTCGGCTGGTATTGATTGCTGCTTTCTTGTTAATTCTTTCTTGAATCTTATCTGGTGTATCAACAGTGATCCATTCCTTGTGGTGGTGCTTCTTGTGACCCAGGACCTCATGACATGTTGAAGTGATTGCCTCCTTGATCCTCTTCCAGTTGCTCTCCATAGTAGTTCCTTCTCCATGGAGTAGATCATGTAAGGCCTGGAACTTGTTGCTGAGGACTATCTTGAATTTGTTGAGTTTGTCAATATCCTGAAGAAAGGTCGTATTGAACTTTCGTGATATTGTTCGCCCCCTTGTCCAGTGCTTCTTGAGTTACAATTTCATCTTGGCGACCAGCAAGTGATGATCTGATGCTATATCAGCTCCTCTCTTGGTTCTCACGTCCTCTATAGTCCTCCTGAACGTTTTGTTGATGCAGATATGGTCGATTTGGTTTTGCGTGGTGTGATCCGGTGAAGTCCATGTGGTTTTGTGTATGCGTTTATGTGGGAATATGGTGCCGCCTATGACCAGCTTATTGAAGGCACATAGATTTGCAAATCTCTCACCATTTTCGTTTCTTTCTCCCAGTCCGTGTCGTCCCATGATGTCTTCATATCCAGTGTTGTCCGTTCCAACCTTGGCATTGAAATCTCCCATCAGAATGGTCAGGTCCTTTGTTGGGCACTTCTCGACGATTGACTGCAGCCTATTGTAGAATTGATCTTTAGCGTCTTCATTGTAGTCGTTGGTAGGCGCATAGCATTGGATGACGTTCATTGTAATCCCCTCTTTCTTTGTTTTGAAGGAGGCTTTGATGATCCTTGGTCCATGAGATTCCCATCCTATAAGTGCATTTTGTGCTTGATTGGACAACATCAATGCAACTCCTTGTGTATGTGGTGCATTTTCTTCTTCATGGCCGGAGTATAACAGGAGCTCTCCTGAAGTTAGTCGTTGTTGTCCAACTTGCGTCCAATGTGGTTCACTGATCCCAATCAGCTCTAGGTTATATCTTCTCATTTCTGCAGCAGTTTGGAAGACTCCCCCGGTCTCCCACATTGTACGAGTATTCCATGTACCTATAAAAATTGTTGTTCTGGTTGTTAGAAGGGGCGTCGGCCTCGTGATTTCCGAAGGAACACGGCTTTCATCATGAGGCGTCATAGTTCTTCTAAATGAATACTTTCTGACTCCCAGGGCAGAGTTTAAAAGATTTGAATAATTTTTCCTGGTTAGCGTTTTTTTAGCGAGTTAGTTTTCTACGGGATGGGGACGCTAACCCCATGCCCAACCCTCCTCCTTTATCCGGGCTTGGGACCGGCAGTAGCCCACGGAGGGACTCCAGGCGGAGTTTTTAGCGGATACAGAAGTTAAATAAACATTGATTGTTGTTTACATTATGTATTCTAGTCTTCCCACAGCATCATCGTTTTTATTAACTATTGATATTACTTCATGGAATTAATACTTAAGATCTCTTATATACACTAACACTAAAAGATGTGACTTAGAGTCTATTTTACTATTTTATTTACATTCACTTCTTACTTTATCTTACTCTGGTCCTAATGATCCATCTTTCTTTTAGGTTTTCTTCTCAGTTTCCCCTACCTATCGTATTGTGGCTGAATATATTAAGTAATAAGTTGGCTACTAAATTAAAATGGACAGATGTAATCGCTAATCATAACTAATAATTGAATTCAGACTGTACCTCTAGTGACAATTTGACCAGGACTCCAACGATTATAAAGAATAAGAAAATGTAGTAGTTTTGTCGTAACTCTAGCTAAAAGAATACGATGGAGAATCCAGGTGGGGTGGCCTATGCTCCTCCACGAGGGGTAACAGGAGTAAGTCAATAACTAAGTAAGCTAACAACGATAAAGTGAAAAGTGCGCGAATATTTGTAACGACCTTTGGAGTTTTAACTTAAAGAGTGAATTTTAAAAATTTAAATTAATTATTCTGAATAGTTTATTTTACTAAGTGATTATAATTAAATTTTTAAAAAGTAATGAAATTCCTATCGAGAATGATCTTTCATGTTAAATGATTAGGTAGCACGATTCTATGAAACGGGTTTAACCTTCATATTGTAGTGAACGCGAACAAACGTGGGGACAATCGAGTGTGTTTGAACACAAAATTACAGAATCTCTCAGTAAAATCTGAGAACCATACAGTAAGTACTTCACCTGCAAAATGTCAATCAATTATCTCAGATTTGACTGATTCTTCTTTTCCACATCAATCACTCTCTGTTGTCATTCTCTTTTCTTCGATCATCTTAAACATCTGCTATCGAGCATTTCATCTTCGATTTATGATATATACTACTTATATCTGTCGACATCAGTAGCACACAAGACAACATTAAAGAAGCAGGGTAATTGACACATGTTAAAAGTAGATATAAGGACGTGGAGGAAATGAATAAATGAATTGTAATATAAATCATTTTTTTAAATCTAAAGATTAATTTAATTCAAATATATATTCGTTAAGTTGTAAAACAGTTTATTCATCGAAAGATTCTTTTTCGACAAATTAATTTTCAATACTGTATGATTGTACAGATTAAATTATCGGCCAATGATTTATTTCTACTTTCAGATAAATTATATCTGAGCTTGCTATAGTTTGAATTAGTAGAAGAGGTGAGCACTTGTAGTGTATGCTATTTATATTTTTTAAGTGTAAGCAGTATGTAACATCAGTCAGATGTGAAATACTTGTCAAAAGAAGATTAAAATGATTGAAATGAAAAGTACAGAAAGAAATTGAGAATTGGAAAACAACCATGAAGGATGTAAAGAATAACTGATGGAAGATGTGCAAATAAAGTATTTAATGTATAGTTTTTATAATTTATGAAGACATTCTGTAATTTAGTACTAAACAATAAATTGATTAATTTCACCAACTCTCCATTCACTATACAATGATAATAGATAGATAGACTAAAGACTGAAACAAAACATCTATTCAATAATTCTTGGTTTCTAACAATTCTTTAGCTAATATTAAACTATAAAAAGATCAATTTTAGATTTCATTTCTAGTTATCTTAAATGATTTATTTATAATGTTAATGATTCAGTTAAAATTGATAATCTTTTTAAGATTAATGTCACTATTATCTTGTTACCTAGTAGATTTTTTTGCTCTAAATTTTAGTGATAATATGATTTTTATTGACTTATAGAAAAAAAGTTCCTCATTGGTGAATTGTTTTTCATTTTTTGTGACAAATAAAATATTGAAAATTTTTCTTCAATTTAATTCTATGATCTTATCATAGTATTAACTAACCTGATAAGATTTTTGGCTACTTCTATATTTGTAACTATCGGTTTTATTTTTAAAATAAAACATCTTATCATATGAGTAGTATTTTGTATAATTTATTTATAAAAGCTTCTTTAATTTTAACATCTGTTTCTATCCAATCAGAATTTAGATTTCTCGAATCTCTATGACCTTTAATACCCTGGTAACCAGTTAAACGAAACAGTAAAAATATCAAAGTTAATCAATTATTTGTTTATTTATTTATAGTAATCTGTTTCAATTTTGAATTAAATTAACATTTTTCAATTAAAAAAGAACAAATAAACATTAATTATGACAAATGTATCATTAAGACTTTATATTGAAACTGATGATACTGAGTATCCAGGATTGAAGAGATTAAAATTACAAGGAAAAGATTTAGAAAATGTACCAGCTGAATTGTTCATGTTAAGAGAATTACAAGTATTAGATATGAGTCCAGAAAGACAACCATCATTAACTTATAAATTGTTAGAACTTCCGTCAGATATTGGTAAGTGACTAAAAATATAAAAAATCAAGATGTATCCTGTTTTAATGGATAGTTTTTCCGGAAATTTTATTGTGTACTTTTTCATAGTCATTTATGTGTATATATTTGTACTACTAAAGCATTCTCCATATTTAAACTGATACATGATCAGTTAGATGTGCTCGTTCTGAAATCTTCGTAATATTTAGAAGTAAATTAATTACATTTCCATGCGAAATAGCCATGTATTTCAAGAATATACTATTTTAGTTATCTTTCTTAGTATCGAAAGGTGTTTGGAAATTTCAGCTTAGAAGATTCGAACCCATTCCATACAGCGTCTCAGTTATGACTGTATCCAATGAGTCACTTGGGTTTTAACTCATTTTTTGAGAAATGGATTGTTTTCAACACTGTTTTTATGGACTCGAGTATATTTAAATAATCACTGAGTTAAGTTTCGAAGTTTCACATTGTCCATTTTTGACTATACCATATTAAATAAAAAGAATACCTCAGTACTGAAGTACTTAGCTTATAAGCTTAATCGCTAAAAGTTAGTCAGCACCAACGATCAGGAAGCGATTGATTTCTGGGCTTGAAAATATTACGGTAGCATTTTGGTAATTACCCTGTCTTCTGGGTATATGATATATTTTATTACAATGACTCCGTTTTTGTTATCTTGTTAATTAACCTCATTTGTGGGACTCCTCAGCAATGTCCGTTCACCCCGCATTAGGGACTGGACCTGGGACGTTTGGTTTCGCATGAGAGAACATAAACCTCGGACCACTGACTGGAATTCAATGGTATACATGCTTAAATTCAACCAATCAGCGATATTGCGCGATCATCTAGTGATTTTTAGTTTTAATTAGTTATTTAATTAAGAGCAGTCCGTTATATAATTTACGAAAGTCTAAAATCTTCTCTAAACCCCATATTATTGATAATTTCTGACGGCGGACTTAAGCATTAGGAAATGTAAAACTCTCAGGAGATATTGGCTATCATTTTTGGTATATTATGCTGTAAAAATAGTTTTCATCATAAACGGCCTATTTACCAATCAATGATTAATGCTTATAACAAATATCAGAAGTATATTTATCCATTTTTTGAATGGTTACTAGTTCTGATCAAGCTGTGATCATGAACTAGTGCTTCCAGATTTTCAATGGTAGGCTAACACTGATCGGTTCATAATCTCAATTGAAACTTTGATCAAATTACCCATCACAACAAAAAACAAAAAGCCATCAACCTATTCGACCATAAATGTAACTTTCAAATCACTACAATAACTTCTAATTCGTGTTATTCTTCATTTTGTTCATAATTATGTTGTTCTCCGTAGTATAGCAGGATTTAAAACACTGACATCATAAATAATTCTTCTGACAGATTAATGTCCAACTTACAAGAGAATTGAATTAACTGATAATTAAGTTGTGATGTGGTGTTCCAGCCATTTAAGGTTGATAGATCCTTATCTGATGAAGCCGGTGTGCTTTTACTGGATTTCAATTCTGTGTTTTAAGGGTTCACAAACCCACCACGTGGATATGATTGCAGGAAGAAATCGGTACCTCCAGGGCTACTAGAGTCTGTATGCATACCGGTCACACAAGTTCTCACCCCTGCAGCCCACAGTATACATGTAAATATATTCACTCACCTGAAAGATAGATGGGCACCGCTATTTTCGAACGTATTTTATACTGACTGGTTCTTAAGCATTACATGCTTATCACTGGTATAAAGACTTTCGTACATACACTTTGCAATATTTACATATCCATAAGCACTCTCTCATGAAGGGTTGGTAGTCACCTCCCCTTGATGTTTACTACTATATCTTTCTATTATCTCCTTAACCTGAAGGATAAGGGCACTGGTTTTATTAGACATGATGCAAACATTTTTCAGCTTACATTTGTTGTACTAACTCAGGCGCATATCTTCTGCTTGTACCTACATACATAAACTTCACAAGCCAAGAATCATGCAATTCATATACATAAGCGTACACATCAGACAGCCCGTTACGATTTTTAAAGCCTCGAAGAGTAAACTTTACGTAGTCCAAGTACAGCATAGAATTGGTGGATTAGTTGAACTTTCAACAACTCTCTCAATTAGCTAGCAGGTTTGGCATCACTACCCAGTAGCTCCAAGTGGAGCATTTGTGTCGGTTTTGCTGACAATTAAATTGCACTTTATAATATTTACATTTTGGGAAAATATATCCTGCTTTTATAATAAGTCGAATAAAAATTACTATCATACTAGAATGTTGACAGTTAAAAAAACACTTCCACATGGTGAAAATTGAAACGACGGTCACGCAGGTCACTAAATCATCCAAGATTCTGTCTATACGTAAACTAATTCAGATAATTAAACCTGAAGTCATTATTCCGTACCGTGCCAAAGATTTTAATCTTTGTCTATGTATCTGAGTTAAATATCTGAAAATATAAAATAAATATGAGGATAGATGGCTGTAAATTTAAAAAACGTTGTGAACCTCGATATCTAACCAATAAATAATTTTAAATTCAGGAAAACGGAGATATCGATAGAACTCAATTGCAGTTACAGTTTCATTAAAACTATCGATTGGCATAAACATATTTACCATACAACAGCTTGGTGTTATCTTAAAAAGCTCGATTATCACGCTAGGTAGCACATGTTCAAATCTCAGAGAAAGATAATCAGTTGCCTTAAGACTGAAGATACCGCTTAATACTGTATCAAAGTCTTAAGCATAGTGACGACTGTCGCTAACCCTTTACCGTTGAAAGATTTCAAAGTGAATAAAAATGAAATTTAAAAAAACAATGATCAAAACTTGTTTCTCCACTCAAGTCTTTTGATGTATGGATGATATAAAAAAGAAGTATGACATACTTAGTGACTTTTCAATCCTTAATATTTTTATTTCAAAACTACTCAATACAACTTAATTACTGTTAGTAGTATAAAAAATAGTTACATTAAAATAGCATGGAACTTTTTGTTGAATAGTTAAAACCACAAGTGACTGAATAAAAACACATTTATTTATTGTGTTTGTATGTTAAAAAAGAACAATTTTTCCAATGGTTTGTTACGAATTATGTATGAGTAAGGTTAAGGAAGTGTTGTTGTAAGAAATATTACTGGCACGTAATCTTTCCGTAGACTAACATAGACTGTTTATTTCTCTTTGGCTACTACTAATTTAAGTAAGGGATACTCCGTCCAAATTAAACACTTTTATACATTCACTTATAAATTTATCTTCTCTCTCAGCATGTGACACATAGGCTAAACGAACAGACTAGGTCACTCTCAGTTTTTTAAACACTATCCAGCACAGGTAAGTAAAGATTGATTAGATATATTAAAAGATCATTATTACTTTATTTAGTGAGTACTAATTAGATATTTATCATTCAACATCACACACAAAATCCTAGAGAAGCTTTCAATTCGTTCTTACATTTAATCTACTCTGCTAACACTGATTTACTATTCAACGTGGTTTTCACATTGTACACTGTATTATTATCTTTGCTACCCTTGCTTACTGTTACTGCTCTTGCTTTACCGATCCGCGCTTTTACATCTGCATCAGACCCACTACGTTCATAAATGATGCTGCCCAAATATGTAAAGGTTTTCACATCTTGCAAATCTTCTCCGTCAATTGTGATTGGATTGGTGCATGCTGTGTTGTATCGGAAAATCTTGCTTTTCTCTTTGTGTATATTGAGACCTACTGCTGCTGAGGCTGCTGCTAAACTGGTCGTTTTCTCCTGCATTTGTTGTTGCGATTGCGATAGGAGGGCCAGATCATCTGCGAAGTCTAGATCGTCCAGCTGCATCCTAGATGTCTACTGTATCCCGCGTTTCCCTTCAGATGCTGACGTCTTCATGATCCAGTCGATCACCAGGAGAAAGAGAAAGGGTGAGAGTAAGCAACCTTGCCTGACACTGGTCATTACCTCGAACGAGTCTGTCAATTGTCCTCCATGCACAATTTTGCAGTTTGATCCATCATAGGAATTCTGTATTATATTGACTATCTTCTGAGGCACGCCGTAGTGTCGAAGAAGTTTCCATAGTGTTGTTCTGTCCACGCTATCAAATGCCTTTTCGTAGTCAATGAAGTTGATGTAGAGTGATGAATTCCATTCAGTTGATTGTTCCACAATGATCTGTAGAGTTGCGATTTGGTCTGTACACGATCGATCCTTACGTAATCCTGACTGCTGGTCTCGAAGTTTGGCGTCTACGGAGTCCTTCATTCTGTTTAACAATACCCTGTTGAGGACTTTTTCCGGTATTGAGAGAAGAGTGATGCCCCTGTAGTTATCACAGTTGCTGAGATCGCCTTTCTTCGGTATTTTGATCAGAAGTCCTTCTTTCCAGTCTGTTGGTATTTGTTCCTCATCCCAAATCTTATTGAAGAGAATGTGGAGTATCCTTGCAGTTGCCGCTACGTCTGCTTTCAGTGCCTCTGCTGGAATGTTGTCCGGTCCTGCTGCTTTGCCACTCTTGATTTTTCTGATGGTCATGCTTATCTCTTCAGTCGTTGGTGGGCCAACATTGATTGGGAGGTCCGTGGAGCTGCTTCGATGTTGAGTGGGTTCAGTGGTGCTGGTCGATTCAAGAGTTCTTTGAGGTGTTCTACCCACCTGTTTTGTTGCTCTTCAACGTTGGCGACTACCTTGCCTTCCTTGCTTTTCACTGGTCGTTCTGGTTTGCGGCGATTTCCAGAGAGTTTCTTTGTCGTGTCATACAATTGTCTCATGTTTCCTTCTCTTGCAGCCTTTTCCGCCGTCGTTGCTAAATCTTCCACATATTTACGTTTGTCAGTTCTGATGCTCCTCTTCACTTGTTTGTTTACTTCCGTGTATTCAGCTTGTGCCTTGGCTTTTTCTGCTCTTGTTCGGCTGGTATTGATTGCTGCTTTCTTGTTAATTCTTTCTTGAATCTTATCTGGTGTATCAACAGTGATCCATTCC